ACTCGAGTTCTTCTGCTCTTTGCACCTGCTCCTCTGAAACGATTCTTGAGCTGTGGCAAGAGGAAATGTAATAGAGGGGTCCCGTTTGGGGCTGAGCTTTCTGCAGTTTCTTATTCTCTACATGTTGGCCAGTTGTGAGTTTCTGCTACTCATCATCTACTGACAAACAGAAGTTTCTGTGAAAAGGGTTGAAAGGTGCACCAGTTTTTAAATAGAACGATAAGTCACAAGGAACCTGTTTACTATTATTTCTCTTTAGCAGAATAATACTAGTAGGTTTTCCCCTGGGTCTGATGACCTATCTAGCTATAGGTTCTAGGCCTAATAATGACCCCGGGTTTGGGTTTCATCTTGTATCTTAGATCAAATCAGCAAAAGAGTAGTTATTCCCATGAAGTCTGTGCCACTATTGCACCAGGGGACCCGTATTGCCTTGTGTAGCTGATGTTGTGCATATGCTTCAAGAGTTGCATAAATTATGTTATTCGGCCAACTTTATAACGCCCTCCCTTTTAAAATAATAATACTATTAAGATCTGTCTGTCATGTGATCATCTAGTTCAGTGGATATCAACTTTCCTAATGTTCCCTTTAATACACTCCCTCATGGTGTGGTGATCCCAACCATAGAAATTATTTTTGTTGCTTCTTTATAACCATAATTTTGCTACTGTTCTGGATCATAATGTAAACCTGTGATATGCAGAATATGGAGACGCAACCCTTGTGAAAGGAACATTCGACCTCCAAAGGGGCTGACACCCCAGGTTGAAAACCACTGATCTTGTTCATTGGTTTTAAAAGTTGTGCAGTGCATTTATAAGATTGTGTCTACTTTATTTTATAAACCCATCTTCTCAATGATGTCAGAGAGATGACTTTTTATATCTCTGGCTGCTGCACGGAGTATTGTGAAGAAGATCTACACTCATATCCTCTTTGTGAAATATTTTCTGACATCAGTTGAAGTTGTCAAATTTTCCTAACTAGTTAAGCCAAAATGTACCCAATAAAGGTAATTTGTTTTCCTTAAACTATTAGAAGGATCCAGATTGATTGTTCAACAACAATTCCTAGAACCATACAATGCCAAAGACTCATGGTCTCTGCCACCAGAAGGGACTGAAGAGACCTGGAAATCAACAACCCCTCTCTCATAGTCACAAGTACCAACGAGATGCCCAGTAACTGGCTTTTTGGCATTCTCTGAAGTAGATCCAGATATCAGGATCCTCTGATACATCTTCTGAAAAATAAATTACAGAATTATGAGTCTTTCTGTTCGTGCACAGAAGCAAAAACAGCAGGGGCAGCAATGGAAAGCTCTTGGTCCTGTAATAAATACATCTACCTTCCAAAGACCACTGTTGGGCACTTGCACAGAGGAAGACAGCACCTCTATGAAACTTGAGAAATGAGATCTGGGAATTACAGATATTTCCTTTTTATCTCCTGTGGAGCAGTTAAAGAGAAGGAAGTTGGGTGAACCCATTGCTTTAATTTACCACAAAGCAACGTGAGACTAGGGAAATATGAACATACACAAACTGGCCCAAGAAATGTTAGATTGCTCTTTAGAGTAAACATGTGAGTCAATTCCACCATTGGCGGTAGGCCCCTCCTTGTCCTTCCTTTCCATAATTACACAGATACTGCAGCTTGTCCAAGTATCCCCCTAAGTCATGTATGAATGACTAGGTCTCTCCAGAGTGGTGCCAATAGAAGATGTAACCTGTAAGAGGTGTGCCCACTGAGAGGCCCTTCCGCCGCTGTCCCCGCCTTACTGCATTTGCTTCCTGGCTGATGAGGTGAGCAGTTTCACTCTTCTCCATGTTTAAACTATGATGTGACGCCTCATCACTGGTGCAAAGCAGCATGGCCAATTGCTCATGGGCTAAAACCTCCAACACTGTGTCCTGACATTGATATTTTCTTGTTGTAAGTTAGTTATCTCTCAGGTTCGCTATAGCAATAGAAATCTAACATAACACAATACCATCTCGCTTTTTAAATTTCCAGCTTAGTGATGGAGAAGCTGCTTGAACCTGGCTTTTACTAGGTTTTTGGTTTTTGTTTGGTTGGTTTCGGTTTTTGATTTTTTTGTTTTGGTTTTGGTTTTTTGTTGGTTTTTTTTTTTTTTAGATTCTGACATGGTCTATGGTCTTCTGCCAAACCAGTTCTCCCCAAGACAGTGTTTCCATTGCATTCATGAACTCTGGAGTTAGTATTTGTCTCCATTATAGATCACCTGGTGATCCCATCCATCTAGAGTATATTAAAATACTTATTATGCTCAGTTTTCAGATTTTCCTTTGAACTTGGGAAGGACAGAAACAAGAAAAGTCTCCAAGCTTTTGTTTTACACGAGGAAAGCTGAAACCGGTAGAATGTACGTGACTCACTCAAAGACCTGGGCAGCAGGTGGAAGAGGACGGGTTACGGAAATATCTGAAACGGACAGGAGCATATCACACGCTGCAAGCTCGCTGAGTGCTGGGCACTAGATCTAAGCCAGGTGCCTTCGGGTTCAGTGACAGCATGTTCAGAATCAGAACTGTCCCTCTTCTGGCCTTCCATATAGAGCTTAATGAAGGGACAGACGACATGCTGGAAATCTTTCAAAACCTCCACAGGCATCATGGAAAAGTTGGCTTTGTCGTTAAGAATGGTTTCAGGGGCCAGAGGGATGGGCTCAGCATGTTAAGCCTTTCCATGAAAGTGTGAGGGTCAGAGAAAGATGCCTTGCCCGGAACCCAGATACAGGCCAGGTAGGTGCGGTAATTGACTGTAACCCCAGTGTGAGACACTCTGGAGCAAGCTGGCAAGCCACACTAGCCAGAACAGCAGGAAATGCATTCAGCGAGAGACTCTGCTTCAAATGTATACAGTGGGGGGCAACCGAGAAAGACATACATGTGCATCACACACAGGGAAACATGTATAGATACACACCCCACACACATATGCAAGCAAATAAATAAATGTAAAGAACAGCTTGCTACGGAAAGAAAATGTGCCCTGGCTTCTCTAGCTTTGCACCTGCTCCTCTCTGCCGGTCTCCGCCTACTGGGCTTCAAGCATTCTTCCAGCTTCCTCTCAGTGTGTTTTACAGATCCTGTCCTGCAAAGAGAGATCACAGTATGTGCTTTGTGGTTTCTTTTGGCCCCTGTACACATAGCCTAGAAACACAAACAAGCACATAATGTCATCGCTATGATCATCTTATGATGAATGTGTCACAAAGGTGCAAAGGAAATAGAAGAGAAAAAAAAAAACAAAACAAATAAAAACAAAACACCTGGAAGGATCTGGAAAAGGTTTGCTGAAAGAGAGGTCTGGAATTGACTCCCAGCAAAGGAGCACAGCTTGCCAGAGGGGACACGCGTAGGAAAGATGCCAATAGAGAAAAGGGAAGGACAGTGGGGAAAGCAGCAGAAAACTTTTCTTTTAGAACCATGTCACCATCTTCTTCCCAGATATAAGTCAATGAAGAGACGTTGTTAAACAAAGTGAGGTATCCTATTTTACCTAGCCTGTTATTGCTAACTGTCCAGTAGCACCACAATGATTAACAAATGTATCTTCAAAGTCCCTAGTGAGAAGATTTGTCTGCAGCTTTTGTTTGAAAGGCAGAGCTCCTGTGTGTGTTTGTTCAGTGGGACCCGTAGGAAGCCAGAAACTCATCATTTAATAAGGGGCCCCAGGAGAGTGTCATCTTTGGAAAAATCTGGCAAAGGCTGGGCTAACTTAGTCCCTGAACTCTAGCCCTCATCTCAAGCCCTATACAGAGGTGGTAGATTCCAGCCCCTGGTCAGCCTCCTGATCTGTTAACAATTAAACTGTGTGAGCTGCTACCCTGGGTCCTGCAAGGAGACCTTTCTTTAGAGAATCTGACTTTTTCACTCTAGGCCCTTCTGCCCCCTCAACTGGGAAAAGTAGCTCTTTTCTATGTGCTAGAGGTACAGAAACCAATGAGTGAGGGGGCTGAGAAAGTTGTAGATGACTAATTTGCACATAGCCAGATCGTGATTTGAATCGAATACGCTGGAATCCAAGCACGTGCCACATTCTTGTCTCTGGGAAGGCATCTTAAGAGTCTGTCCTTCCAGAAGGAGTCTGCCCAGTGTCATGCTGTAGCCTTTGCCCAAGAGCTTGCCCATTTTACAATGACCTTGCACTGACTTCTGCCCCCCACCCCCCGGCTTCACCCTAAGCAGCCATCCTGTTTGTATCTTGCCACTTGGTTGCAATTTTCCACCCGGATTATTTGGTGCTATAACAAGCAAGGCCACGCCAACCTCTGGCATTAAAAGAAGCATGAGCCTTCATTCCTGAGGTAATGAGACCATTTTTTTTCCAGGTTCCTTCCTCTAAAGTTCATGAACTTAATAAAAATAAATAAAATAAAATAAGACCGGCTCTATTACAGACCAGGATCAGTGCAGCAGGAAGCCGGAGCTGATTGGGGAAAGGCAGCGCCTGGAGGAGGAAAGTAGACAAGAGGCATGCCTTTACCTTCCCACTCCATCATGAGAAAGCTTTCCAGGAGGCCTGAGCAGCCTCCGAGTTTCCTAGGTCCAGCAAGGTGAGCCCTGATGTAAAGCTGGTTACATTTCATCTCTCTTGTAAATTGACTTCTGGGAAAAGCTGACAGCCGGCTCTTCAAAGTAATAAGGAATTCATACCCACCCAACTCTGCACCTCAAGCATCCTGAATTGAACAAATGACCCAGGAGATGAGGAAACACAGGCTATGCTGTTTCTGCTTCATTATTCTCTTGCTTCTTGATGCTTCTCAAAGCCAATTCTCTGTCAGTGTTTCTGTAGCTGCACAGAGTGTCCCATAATGGTTCTTGTCCTCACAACAAATGATTCCTCCTTGGAGACACTCAAAGTCCATTATTTCACCCTAACACCCAGCAATGGGCAGCTCGCTACTCATGGAAGTCCTGTTTGAAAATACATTCAATAGTACTTCATTGCCAAAGAGGGCAGCCTCCCGCTTGGCCTTCACAAGACTTCCAGCTTCTTCCTGTCCTCTCTGTAGTTCCAGCTTCACCAGATCTCAAAATGGACCCCAACTGCTCCTGCTCCACCGGCAGCTCCTGCACCTGCTCCAGGTCCTGTGTCTGTAAGAACTGCAAATGCACCTCCTGCAAGAAGAGCTGCTGCTCCTGCTGCCCTGTGGGCTGCTCCAAGTGTGCCCAGGGCTGTGTGTGCAAGGGCCAGTCAGAGAAGTGCACACGCTGTGCCTGATATGAGGACACGGCTGCTCCCACGTGTAAATAGTGTTGCTGGACCACCCCAGAGCTTTTCATACGGCTCCACCCTGTTTACTAAACCCCCTTTTCTAAGAAATGTGTGAATAATAAAAGCCCATTTGTTAAAAAAAAAAAAATAGTACTTCATTGCCAAGAGTATAGTGGCAACAAGATTGAACAGTAGTCAGCACGGAAGGTCTCAGTTATAAATGTAGCAAGGGTGGGTAGGGATTGTTACCTGAGGAGCAAAGTGAGAGTTGGTGGCTGGAAAATTAAGAATAAATACTATGAGCGAAGGGAGATTTTTGACAAACTGACTATTCTGCTTAGCCAGACATTTAGCTGGGAGTCTGGGAAGACAGAAACTGGTAAAGATGTTGAAACTGGTAAAGAGGTTGAAGATGATCAGAAATGATCAAAGTTGAGGGTAGTTCTTGCCAAACTGACTCAGCAAGATTCCTGCTAAAACTAGATTTACACAAGGGTATACAGACAGGCTCAGAGAAAGTTCAGGAGCCTGGCTGAAGTTTAGTCAAGCCAAGACTCCTTGTCAGTCCCCACGGAATCCTCCAGAGCAGTGGTTCTCGGCCTTCTTAACTCTGCGACCCTTTAACACAGTTCTTCACAGTGTGGTGACCCCCAAAACATAACAGTATTTTTGTTGCTTCTTCATAACTGTAATCTCACTACTGCTATGAGTCACAGTGTAAATATCTCATATGCAGGTTAGCTGATATGCCACACCCAAAGGGTTTGGACCTACAGGTTCAGAACCCTGATGCCCCATACAGGTTTTCCCACCATTGTCTTTGTCTTTATTCAGAAGATGCATTCTGACTGTCAGTTAAACTGACCTCAAGACTCATCCTTGCTTTCTTTCACCTCCTGCCCCATGTAGTCTTTATGGTCCTCTCAGCCATCTGCAGAACTTTTCACCCCTTTTCTACTTTGGTTGTATTGTCAAGAAAACAAATAAATACCACCTAGCTGTCTGTCTTAGCCTCAGTCTACAACTCAAGGACAGAATGAGGACCACGTGCCAAAGGAACCCCTAGATAGTTGTATAACACATGTGGGTGTTCCGTAGACATCACTACCAACCAAGCCCATGTCTGCCATCAAGCAGGCCTGCATTTGAATCCCAGCAATTCCTTTAATTGATGTGTGCGCCAAGCCAAGTCTGGAATCTGTGAAATAAAGTCAGAAAAACAGAAGTCTTCTGGTCCTAGAGAAGATTTAGACACAAACATGTCAACAGCCCATTAGAGGCAGCATGCTTTCCTTAAATGAAAATGGCCTGTCTGGGCTGTAGGTCCTCCTCTCCTTGCCCACAGTCTAGGTGGTTTTGAATCAGAAAGCTTCACTGAATAGAATCAGAGGGACTCCCCTGATGACAGGTTTAAGACCTGCTAGGCTCCCAAAAACCTGTGCAATTGCCTCCTAATTCTCAGCTAAGACCACTGAAAAAAGATTGCAGAGATTCAGGAAATAACAATCAGGAGCTCCCGAAGCCTGAGAGGTTTGTGCAAGAGGGAGAGACAACGTGTTGAAGTTCAGTGCGCCCGGGGCCCCTGGACCCCACCCCAGACGTGGTAGGCAGTACTGATGAGAAACGTGCTGCATTTCCTATGAATTAAGCCATGGGGCCAAGAGAACAATTTCCTCATTGATGAGGAAAGGTTGCTGAAATTCCGAGGACACTCGAGGCCTTTCACTGGGCTGAGCAGAGATGCCTAATATTAATCCTACGTAATATGAGTCCTTGACAACTCTCTCTCTAATATGCCTGCTGGTGGCTCAATTGGCCATTCACTGTGACTCGGTGTATCCACAAGGAAGTGCTTCAGAGGGGAGAAAGTGCTCCACCTCCCTCTGCTCCACCTTGTCCCTCTCTCTGATCTAAAGGTCACCCAGATTATATTAGCACAGATCATTATGAACCTGGGGAAAGGTGCTTTGTCTTAATTTTTTATGTGATCCCAATTATGCCCAGCGAAATCTTCCTTTATTGATCGCACGGTCACGGAGAACAGAATCTAACGGTCAGCACAGGCTATTTCTGCTGCCCTACCCAGTGGTGATTCTGGCCTAGGTACGGAGTACCCACTCCTTTCACACTTGCTCTAGAGTGGTCCTCTGAAATTTGTTCATTTATTCGGCAAACATTAAAATTTCAAGTGTTTCTCCTGTTCCAGGTGCTATAATAAAGGATAAAAAGATAAAGCAGTTCTATCCCTTGGGAAGCTGACAAGACAAGTTATATATATGAAAGCCAAACTGTGACATAATTCCTTACTTCTAACTGTAATGACTATTTTGCTGAAGGGCAACCTTCTATCAGGAGAATTTGAAGTAGGTTTTCTTTTGTTTTGTTTTGTTTTGTTTGAGACATTGGCACTTCTGCTGAGACTGGATAAAAGATTAAGAGTTAGAAGGGGAAAAGAAGAGACTTAAAAGGACCTCACTCAAAATGGGACAGAAAGAAGAAGAAAAAAAAAAAAGAGGAAAAATGGTCAATCTAAAACCTGGCTATTTAGAGGTCAACTCTGCCAAACTGCCCGGGGCCAAGTCAGTGCCTGCTGCTGCGCTGTGTGTGTCTGGGGAAGTTCACATACCTTGCTAAGCTTGTCTGCCCTGTGAGATCAGTGCTTGTATCACGGGCTGGGTTTGAGAGCATTTGTAGTGTGTGACTAGCACAGAGTGCTTAGAACAGCAGCTGTGTGTGGTATGCTGTATAAACATAAAATATAAATGTTAACCATCATTAGGAGAGTGTCTCTTTTTTACATAAACAAAATTGCTTTTGTTTTTTTTTTTTTGAGGAGTTACAGACTAACTGAGAAAATTATCAAAAGCTACAATGCCCAACGACCTCTTTCCCTCCACTTATTATCTTCCCTATTATTAGCATCTTGCATTAAGACAGCACATTTGATACAGTTAATACTGAGCCAGGATTGACACTCTTCCTGACTAAAGTCCATTCCTTACATTAGGGATTTCTCTGTATTGTATGCTCTAGATTTTGACAACTGTGTATCAGCTATCAGTCATTACAGTGTCATTTAGAATAGTTTTACTGTCCTTTACTCTGGCCTCTCATACGCTCTCTTCCAATAGCAGCCAATCAATGGCCTCTTTACTGTCCTTATTGTGTGTCTACCAGGACATATGTCATTTTGTGAGAAGCATATGGCATGGCATGCAGCCTTGAAGACTGGCTTCTTTCTCTAGCAATACACACTTACATTCGACCCCACTGGCATCTTCTACTGCTTAAGTTTTGCCGAGGGATAGGCATTTTTATGCAATGCTGATGAGGGTTCTCTAAAGAAGCTGCTTTGGAGAGCTCTGCACCTTTGCCTTTAAAAGTTGATTTCATGTTCCAGAAAAAGCCCCACTCCCGAGATGTCTGGCCTCTAATTGCGACCCTTTTAAAACGCAAATACTCCAAGACCACAGGTGTTTCAGGCCTGAACCAGGGGCATTTTCCAGCAGGATAAAACCTTAGCATCAACTGTCCCCAAGCCCCATGCTGAGAGATGGGAATCTAGAGAGCTGTGAAAGTTAAAGGGAACATTCAGAAACAATGACAGGACATTCCTCTCTTATGTCATTTGGCTGCACGTTCCAATAGGTTCAGTGACTATACTTCATGTAGCAAGAACCACCACAAAAATTAAAACACAGATTTCAACAAAAGATCTTGTGAATTTCATCCATGAACATACATGGTTTGGCCATATTTAATTTTTTAACGATAACCTTTACCAAAGATAACAATTAAAGGTCTTCAGAACTTTTCACTTATCAACACTTATTAACTGAGCACCTAAGAATTGTAAGATTCTGCGCAAGTGAAAAGTCGTATGATCTCAATATAAAGCAGACATATGTCACTGCCCAGCACAATCAAGGAAGGCTTCCTGAAACAATGACATTTGATCATGGGGGCAGAGGATAACATTCATAGGGACTTGACACACTAAAGAAGAGCTGGAAAGCTGACATTGGGACTTCTAGAAAGAGAGAGAGCAGCTATGCCTGGCTCTGAAGAGGGCATCCTTCCTAGTGGAAGAGCGGCCTGGATGCTCCCAGTACTATGGCTAGGAACCATAGCCTGAAAGAGTTGGACACTTAACAGGACAGATTTCAGTTTGCCACTTCTCCCAGGCCCAGCCTTTCCTGTAGTGTAGCTCCCTGGACCCTTGTCCAAAACCCCTGTTCTAAGTTCTTGGAGCATTCAAGGACTTCCTGCTTCCTTGAGTCCTTGGCTGCTGCTATCTTCATTGTCCCCCATAAGGAACAAGTTTACTCTCGTTCCTGAAGGTCAGACAATAGAATTCTTGTGAGAGGTCCTTCTCAGGAATGAGACAAGGCAACCTTGCTGCAGTTTGTGGAGTAGTGGGCAGGGCATCATTTCCTTCCTGGAAATCCAGCTTGCCGGCACACTGCCTCCCCACCCTGCTGCCCTGTGCTCTGCCCTGTACCGACAGGTCCCTTCCTCTGCGCACCCAGCAGCTGTTCCACAGCCCTGACAGCCAGCATGGACCTTGATGATTTTCCACATTGAGGCCCAGACTCTTGGGTGATGCAGCCGTCTTGCCAACCAGCTTCCCCATGCTTTCCAAGCCAAGGAAGGCTCGGGTCTACAGGGACTAAGTTCAAATAAATACCTAGTCAACAAAAAGGCGATTCTGCCAGCAGAGCGGGGACACATTAGGAGACATGGATTGTCAATGGCTATTTGGCTGACTCACCAGTCCTTTTAATTTCTGTCTTTCTCCTGGATGCCTTCAAATGTCTATGAACACACACACACACACAAGGTGGGGGCACCTGGCCTTCTTATTACCTGTGCTCACTCCGTTACCTACCTATTACTCATCTTTCTTGATCCCCCATTCTCCCATTAATTCTCACATCATAACAGACCTCAGTACCTGTGGCAGAATGAAAAGACCAACTTTAAATCAGAGAGGACTCAAATGATAGGTCTAGCAACTGTTGTAACAATTTGTGTAAAATACCTCTCTCTCTTCTCTCTCCCCTTCCCCTTCTCAGGCATGAGTGCTCTTTCTCTCCCTCCCTTTCCTCTCCCCCTCCTCCTCTCTTTCTCTCTTTCTTCCCCTTATAC